TATCTTCCCTCTTCTGCTTGTTACCAGCCATAAACAAAGTCGACTTTTCCATACTTACTTTCAAACCACTCATACAATCAAAGTCTTCAAAAACACCCAAGATACCTTCAATGGAATTACGAGTTCCATCCGCAAAGATCATCAAATCATCAGCAAAACATAGGTGTGTGAGGTTAATGTTTTTGCATTTTGGATGATAACCAATACGACCTCCTCTAGCAGCTTCATCAATCATCCTCGACAGCACATTCATACATATGACAAAAAGGTATGGAGATAAAGAACAGCCTTGTCTAAGCCCTCTCTTACTCGGGAAGTATCCCACCAGCTCGCCATTAACTTGAACAGAAAAAGAAGCCAAGGTTACACAGAGAGAAATCCAGTTTATGAACTTTCCGGGAAGACCAAGAGCTCTCAAAGTGTTCAAAAGAAAAGGCCATTGAATCGAGTCAAAAGCTCTTGATATGTCAATCTGCATGGCACATTTTTGGGAGGTGGACTCTTTGTGATAATCCTTGACCAGCTCAATAGCCAATAACACATTCTCCATGAGCAATCTGTCTTTTATAAACGCCGATTGATTCACAGAAATGCATTTAGGAAGAACACTCTTAAGCCTGTTTGCAATGATCTTCGATATAGCCTTGTAAAGAACATTACAGCAGGAGATAGGCCTATAATCCTTCATCATTTTAGCTTCCTGCTTCTTAGGAATGAGCGCCAGAATTTTGGAATTCAAACCCTTCGCCAAAAATCCCTTAACGAAGAAAGATTGAACTGCAACTGTAATATCATCTCCCACAATATCCCAAGCTTCCTTGAAAAACTCAGAGGTGTAGCCATCAGGACATGGGGATTTATTTCCTGGCATATGAAAAAAGACATCTTTGACTTCCTCCTTAGTAACTTCCTTTTCAAGCATCAAACAATCAGCTTCACTACACTGGAAATTCAATAAATCTTTTAACCTTTCCACAGAAACACCTTCAAAATCAGGAGGCTGCTTTGTCATAAACTCCTCAAAAAAAACTCTCAGCTTCACGTTTAATTTCCTCCTCTGTTTTAGCAACAGAACCATCAACTCTCTGAATTTCATTTATAGCATTTCTGACCTCCCGAGTTTTTGCAGAATTATGGAAAAACATGTTGTTCTTATCTCCAATATCAAGCCAATGAACCTTTGAACGTTGTTTGAGAAACTCTTCTTCCAGATCAGCAAGTCTCAACCATTTAACATAAGCTTCATTCTCAAGTAAGAAACCAAATTCCTTCGACAAATGAACCATTTCTGCATTTTCCCATTCCTTTTTTTGTTCGACTTGTAAGTCAATCTTTTGGTTTTTTCAATAAATATATTAACAAAAAAATGATCATTCTCAAATTCTCAATAAATCCAAATTTAGCTCCACATAATAATTAGTTATTTATTTTTAAAGTTTGATAAAAATTATTCAACCGCTATCAGACAAATAGACAACCTCAAAATACATGCCAAATACGTGTTTTTTTTTTTGTTACAGGCCAAATACATGTTCGTTATAACCTAATAATTTCACAATCCAAAATAACAGTATCAATGCATAGAAACAACAGAGTGTGACAACGCTCAGGGCTAAACAGTAACAGCTTCTATCATGTAATGAAAACAAATGTTCAAATACATAGTCTCTTTCATTGAAAAACACTCCAACATGCGCTGTTTACAACCGAAAAGGTAACTCTTACACGCTCAACAAGAACTGCATAAACCATAACATGCACATCGCTAATTCAACAATTCTCACAGGGGACCAAAGAAGAGCTAGACAAATGTGGAAAGCTATTATTCTCGGTTGTAAACAGCGCATATTGGAACAACTTATTATACAATTAGAACAACCTACTGTCAACATCCTTGCGCTTGCGCAGGGCTACGCAGCTAGTACTAACATATAAACCACTCCATAATTACAGATAGCTAATGCAGAACATCTATGAATTAATATTTGATAAATTAATAATCTATTTAATTTAATAAATTTCACCGGTCGTAAGAGTGGCTCAAAACAACACAAATCGATAAAATAATAAGATAATAATTTTAAAATGTTATATGTAAATATATGGTCCCATTAAAGTTATAAATTAATAATTTATATGTGTACATACTTTATATAAGCAATCAATATATTGTTTCTTTTATATTCAAAATGAAATTATCTTTATATTTTTGACACGTAATATATTTTTGATGCGATTTAGTAATATTATGTCTAAAACCACATTTAAATTATGTGAAATAAATATTATATATATCAAATAATATAATAAAATTCATATAAATATTGAATTTAAAAAAACAATAATTAATGTCTATACACTAAAATTAAATAGCTTTCTTATCTTAAAATAAATATATCTTTAAACAAGAAATCTAAATAAGGAAAATTTTGTAAATTAATATCTCTATAAATTAATAAAAATTTAAAGTTTCAGCATTATTAATTTAAAGATGTTTTACTGTATGTAACTATTACAAATCCTTTCTTTTAACTATGATAGATTCTTTTTTTTTTATATGAACTAACGTTTATCAATTATTGTTCTTTCTCTTAACTATTACAGATTCTTTCTTTAACTACTACATATTCTTTCTGTTAATATTGACTGTATAGAAATGTTAACTATTACAGATTACTAGTTGCATACTCCCCGCGCAAGCACGGGGCCAGAAGCATTATGTTTGCGTGTATTTTTTTCGATTGTTGGTTTAGTAGATTCTTCTAGTGACATCAAATAATAATGAAATGAAAAGAATGTAGTAAGAGTGTAAAGTAAAATTATTGTATATCTAATGTGTTAAATGTTATTTATATGCGAATTAAGGTTTATAGGAATAGTTAGGCTATAATATAGTTTTTAGTGTGTAAAAGTTGGTGTCTATTTTTTTTTTTGTTGATAGTTTTTATATCGTATGTCAAAACTTGATATAATTCTATATTTATAGTATTTATATTTGTATTAAACGATTTATCAATTTGAAAATAACCTTAATTAAGTTAATATTCGTTGTTTAAGTTTCATTAGATAGGTTTTTATATATGGTTTTTGTAAGTTTGGGTTTTGTTCATAAATGATGTGACATTTTTATCTATGGAGTCATCGACTGTGGGAATCCATTCGCCAAAGTCTGGATTCGGTGGTAGGAAATTTTTCAATGAAATTATATTAGTTATTAAAATGTAAAAGAAATTACATATTCATTTAATAAATAACGAAAAATACTTAAATTTTGTTGTTTCTTTTATTTTATTTCACATACAATTTTTTTTTGAAAATATATTAGAAATGTGTTAAATGTTCTTTATATGCGAAGTAAGGTTTATAGGAATAGTTAGGCTATAATATAGTTTTTAATGTGTAAAAGTAGGTGTTTTTTTGCTATAAACAGTTTTTATATCGTAGATCAAAACTTGATATAATTGTATATTTATATAATTTATATTTGTATTAAATGATTTATCAATTTGAAAATAACTTTAATTAAGTTAATATTCGTTATTTGAGTTTCATTAGATAGGTTTTTATATATGGTTTTTGTAAGTCTGATTTTTGTTCATAAATGATGTGGTATTTTCGGCGTCATTAGAGTAGTTATTAAAATGTAAGAGAAATTACATATTTATTTAATAAATAACGAAAATAGTTAATTTTGTTGTTTTTATTTGATCTCACATACAAATGTTTTGAAAATATATATTAGGAAATATGTGAAATGATTTAACTTTTTTGAGCTCTTAATCTATATTATTCAAGCCTCATTAAGTCATCCACAGCCGCGTGAGATTCACTTTTTTTTTGGTCTATTCGTTTTTGGATTTATTTTTTATTATTTTTGGGTTGAGTTATATTATAATAGGATAGTTTTAAGGCTTTTTAAGCCATTTGCGTAGGCAACCGCGTGAGACTTGCTTTTTTTTGTTCTTTTTATTGTTTGTTTTGGATTCATTTTTAACTATTTTGGGTTTGAACTTGTTAAAATTTAGGGTTTATCCAACTATTTTGATCTTTAAAATAATAAGCCCAAAAAAACATAAAAACCTTATAAACAAAAAGCCCATATGATAATAACCCAAATAAAAAAAAATCAAAAATACATGATAGCTGCATGGTTTGAACCCACGATCTTGCATACTTAATTAGACACCATATACCACTTGACTAAAGTGTATTTGATTGTTTGTGATCATCTTACCAAAACTATGGATTTTAAAACAATATATACGGGACCCAGAGCCGGTCCTAGGAATTTACGGGTTAGAAGCAAAAAAAAAAAAAAAATTGGCTACTTTTTAGAAGGGAAAAACAGAAAAAAACATAAAAAAGTAAAAATGTTGCCACTGAGCTTCGAACCTGCGTTTGGGAAGGCATTATGATCAGCCAACTACCACTACACTAACGAGTACCTTTGACATTTTGTGGCCGAAACTTATTGATAAAATGAACGGCCGGAAGCAGGTGCTTCCTTTGCTTTATGCAAGGGCCGGCACTGACGGGACCCACAAAACTACTGACGTGGCGCGCTGTGGAATCTAGAAAGTATACTATTATAATATAGATTTCTTTCTTTTCTGTCAATAACTTATTATACAGAAGGTTCCACAATCTCTATATATGAACAAACATTAACAAACAAAGCTAACAACACCCCCGGTCAACAAAAAAAGTTACCTCTAATTTTATAATCATCTCCTCAAATCAAAAAAAAAAAGGAACAAGGAAAATGGGAAGCAAAAGAGTGAACAGAATGTTGATTACAATGATGTTAGTAATAGTAACAGGGAACTTTGTGGTTCAGACACAAGCTCAAGACACACTCTCATTTAGAAATTGTTATCCAGGTTGTATTGATGGTTGTGCCATTGACAAGCAGTTACCAAAGTTACTTTTGTGTCCATTCACTTTGTCTTTATACTTGTCTTTCTCCTCCAACATCAAATATTCCTCCACCTCCTTCTCAAATGATTTTGGCAAAGGATATAGATCATATTGATTATTTTTGCAAGCTTGGTTGTGCTACTCATCATTGTGTTTCTCTTACGTCGCTCAGAAATCCAAGTAAGTCTTTTTTCTTAATTTCTATTGTATGAAAATTATCTTATTACTCGATAAGCGTATATACACTTAGTATCTTGCTGTCAAAACATAATATTTATTATGGGTTTTAGTTGAAGATTATATAATTGATGGTTTAATATCGTTGTTTGTGGAATGAGCAGATGCAGACAAAGTTGCGGACTGTGTGGATTCATGCTCAGAGAAATGCTCCAACAAGAACTAAAAGCGACTTTTTAAGTGTTCTTGTTATGATATAAAATCGATGTCTAAATATTGAAAGATATGAACTAATATATTTTTTGTATCACTACAATATTCAATTTGAATAAATATTTATTTCATGATGAAATTATTTTACTACAAGCAAATCAATAGATAAAACTGTCGACCTAAGAAAACTAAATAAATAATAAACAAAAAGAGGATGTTTAAGATTATTGTGAAAATCTTATAGAATTGTAATATACCATGCATAACTGATCTGGTTGGTTCTCCCCTCCCTTAAACCGGTGGGTAAAGAGAAAGGTAATCTTTGGACCCGTAGTTAACAACCTTCCTCGTAACGAGCGCCTGGAAGAAAAAAAATTACCTTGGAGTGTTAAGACTGCAATTTTTACTCTACTTTTTTTCTGGATAATCTATACTATTATTTGCCAAGTGATTTTTCGCAACGGAGCTCTCACATTAAAAGTTAGCATGGTTAATATCGTTTATACCCTTAATAAAAAATATAAATTATACACAAATAAAAAACGAATTTTAATTCTATTAATTAGATAAGTGATTAAAATTAGTAATGATAACAAGAATTATCCAAAATCAAAAAAAAAAAAATTTAAGATAAAAAGATAATTCATCTATACATTGTGTTGTTATCTTAAACTATCTTTTAATATAAAAATTAAAAATACAAAAGAATTAAAAATTATTTGATTAGATGAGTTATTAAAATTATTTATTATTTGCGAATTGAATTTTCGCAACAGAACTTTCACGTCAAAAGTTAGCATGGTTAATATTATTTTACCCTTAATGAAAAAATATAAATTATACACAAATCTATACTATTATTTGCGAAGTAATTTTTCGCAACGGAGTTATCACGTTAAAAATTAGCATGGTTAATATCATTTATACCCTTAATGAAAAATATAAATTATACACAAATAAAAAACGAATTTTAATTCTATTAATTAGATAAGTGATTAAAATTAGTAATGATATCAAGAATTATCCAAAATCAAAAAAAAATATTTTAAGATAAAAAGATAATTCATCTATACATTGTGTTGTTATCTTAAACTATCTTTTAATATAAAAATTAAAAATACAAAAGAATAAAAAATTATTTGATTAGATGAGTTATTAAAATTATTTATTATTTGCGAAGTTATTTTTCGCAACGGAACTCTCACGTTAAAAGTTAGCATGGTTAATATCGTTTTACCTTTAATGAAAAATATAAATTATACACATATAAAAACGAATTTTAATTCTATTAATTAGATAAGTGATTAAAATTAGTAATGATAACAAGAATTATCCAAAATAAAAAAAAAATTTTAAGATAAAAAGATAATTCATCTATATATTGTGTTGTTATCTTAAACTATCTTTTAATATAAAAATTAAAAATACAAAAGAATTAAAAATTATTTGATTAGATGAGTTATTAAAATTATTAATAATAAAAATAATCCAATATATAAAAAATATTTTAAATAAAAAGATAATTACTATATACATTGTGATGTTATCTAAATAATATCTTTTAAACTAAATTTAAATAATAAAAAATAAACACATAAAAATAATAATCAAGTAAAATTCTTAATTTTATATAGTTATAATTTTTAAAAATAATGAGTGATTTCTAAGATTTATTTATTTATAGATATTAATAAAATTATTAAGCCCGCAAGTGCGGGCAAAACTCCTAGTCTCAAGTAGGAGTTTCATAAGTAACACTAATAATGAACAAATGTTTTTTTTTTACAAAATATAAAATTTCTAGTTTTTTTAGCAGAATCCTGATTTTTTTTTTGCTATAAATAACTTGCATAATAACTACTGTAATATTTTAATCTGTAAGTTTACATTTTCTATCTTAAAATTGTTGGTACAAAATAATCAATATCAAAATCTAGAAATTAAGTATATAAAATGAATTGACTTTTATTTAAATTTAAAATGATATTATATAAATATAAGATTGTCTATATATTATGTTGTCATGCATAATGTTTATTTATTCTATTTATTTATAAACTAGATAATATTAATTTATTCTTATTATCAATGTTTTGAATACCAAACCGAATATTGACTTGACATTGCAGTTAGGTCAATGGTCACACAAGTACAACTGGATTGTAAATTTAATTTAGCTTAAGTTAAGTATATATATATATATATATGTATGTATAACTATACAATTATTTTTATAAGACCTTTTATCATTGTTTGAAGCTAAAATAATATGGAAATAAAATGAAAACTTCAGAAATAATATAAAATATGATGAAAAATAATTTATTTAAATAGATATTAAAAACAATACAAGTTTTTATGAATTTTTTTTTAAAAAAATTGCATTTTTAACTTGAATTTGAAAAATTTAAGGTTTAATATCAAACTGGACCATCAGTTTTAGCGAGTAACTAGTTCTTAAACCGAATTTATTGTTTTTTAGCACAACTCAAAATTGTTTAGAAGAGAGAGAGTTATGATCCAACCAGCCGGTTCCAGTTTTTAAAACACTTCTTGTCACAGACAACGCTTTTAATAACAAAAAAAAAACAAAATCATTTTAGTTGACATAATTTTTATTATGAACTTATGTCAAAAAGCATGTACATATTTAACTGAAGTTGTTATTTATTATTTAGCCATTAAAAGAAATTGCCATCTTAATTTTTTTTGTTTTTCAAGTTTCCAAAGACTGCAATATGAACCAAATTGTATGCATGCAATATTAACCAAATTGTGTGATCACCATAATTATACAGTTAAGAAAAGATAGTCATTTGAACTTGACAAAATAAATCTTTTTTTTTTTGTTTAAAGGGAAATGATAATATCTTATATAAACTTTCATGGGTTAAGCTTTTTGACTCAACTTGCATAATAATCTATATTTTGTTACCAACTTATGTATTTAAATAACTGGTTGAAAGAGTAATAAACAAATATTGATGAATATCCTTTATGTCCTATAATATTCGGTTTCTTTAGATCTAATACCCAATCATTATAAATATAAACTAATCATTTTCATAATCTCTGAAAATCTCTTTAATTTTTTAAAACTTCGTTATGGATTTCATAACCAAAATATCTAATCTGACCAGTATAAAATATTAAACTAAAGAGTTAAAATACCCTAATTTTTTAAGGGGGTTTTGCAAAACCAACCTAAAATTTCAAGTCAAACACAAAACCAACCTCTTTTTTTTGTCCATTACTATTCACTCTTAAAAAACCTAAACTCTCCTAATGTTTCCACTTATTTACCAAATTGCCATTATTTTTAAATCAGATTTTATTTTCGAAAATTATTAAAAACCTATTACACCCTAAACATTTCTCCTTATTTACCAAAATGCCATTGTCATCAATATTTGCAACCACCCAAAACCACCATTGATGAGCTCTTTAAGCTTGTGTTTATGAAATTTCAACCACTTATTTCACTTTCTAAACAAACAATACTTCATTTCCTCTCATTTCCTCTCTATTTTCATCTAAACAATCCTCATAACTCTCATTTTCATAAACACAAACTTCAAAATTTCGATTTNTGCAGTCTACAAAACTTAGAAAAAAAAAGTAGACTGCATAAGAAGTCTACTATTTTGTTTTGGTCAATTGCAAAACTAACCTGTCGGGTAATAGTGTAGACTTTTACTGCAGTCTACAGTTGCGTAGACATTTAGTTCTGTCTACTCGTAGAAAGTCAACTTTGGTCAATTGCAAAACTAACCTCTTTCAAATAAATTTGAAAGTGTAGACTGCATAATAGGTCTACTTCTAAAAGTCAAATTCTGATCGAATTCTGGTCAATTGCAAAACCAACCTTTTAAAAAATGTAGACTGAAAAGTAAGTCTACTCGTATAAAATCCCTTTTTTTTTTCAAATACAGAAAGGAACCGGTGAATTTGGCAATTGCAGAAACCAACCTAAACGTAGACCTAATGTTCAGTCTACATCCTGTAGACTGAATAAAACGTCTACAGGTCTGTAGATTGAATATGTAGTCTACCATGTAAAATCTATCAAAAGTGGTTTTGTGTATTATTCATTAAGTTTTTTCAAAACTTTTTTTTTTGAAAGTGTGTGTTAGTTAATCAT